TGTCATGATGCCCCGCAAGGGCTGACTTTTTCCTGCCCGCTTTGACACGTTTTCAAGATGTCCCGATCACATCGCTGAGACATCTAGACTCATTCTCTGAAGCGAAGCGGGCACATATTTCAGGGGGTTGCCGGTGGTTCTACTGACCCCCTTTTGATTGATGGTGGTTTGAACCCCAGGCTAACCATGTGCTGTACCTCTTATGTTCCTCGGTGTTTCCCTTCTAAGAAACCACCCCCTGGAAATGCGCCTGAAGTTTGCAATTTCACACCCCGTTTGAGCTGGTCTCTATTTTCCAAGGATTTGGGATTTGGCGGGATCCCCCCCAAAAACAAAAACAAAACAATACATAAATAGATATATAAGTAAAGCAATAAATACACTACGCAACCAGATACGAGAGAGGGGCTGAATTTGTCCAAGGGTTGCCAAAATAAGTCCTGCGAGTTTAAAGGGAAGCCATTTTGGGTCCCGGTTCTCGTATTTTGAGACAATCCATTCCAATCCCGCTGCAAGTGCTGGATTTGTCTCAAAACAGGGCGCCCGCAAAGTGGTTGGTTTCATGTTGGTTTCCTCTTGCACTGGAGTGGGTGCTGGGTTTACGGGACAACACAAAAGTTACAAGGTTGATTCCTCTTTGTTTCCCGTTGAACCCAACCAAAGGGCGGTTCCCCCAAAGGGTGTGTCATTTTTCAATGATACCCTTTTTTTGCAGGGGTTCCACGGGAAACCAAAGGGCCACCCCCCCCCCGCCCGGCCCCGCCGCACCTAGGCTGATCCGCTCCTCGAGCGGTGCCTTCGCGGCGCTCCGCGCGGACGGCTCGCTGCACGCCTGGGGCAACGGCCGCAAAGGCGGGCAGCTGCCGGCGCGGGTGGCGGCGTTGCGGAGCTTCGGACGCAGAAAGTCCGCAGTGGCTGTCTGGGGGCACTTGCCTCAAGGGCGGTTTGAGGGAACAGGAAGGTTGCGTCATGTTCTGCGTTTAGAATGATGTGTCGTTTATTGTGCATCATGTGTTCTATGATGTGTGTATATAATGTATATATATATATACATATGTATATAGAAGAACATGTTCATGGTTCTATCGTTTTGTCTACACCTACTTTATGTTTTAGCGTAGACTAGACAACAACTGAAACAGAGTCAGAACATGATATGCGCTGTGTACGTCGAATGTTTGGGTTCGGGATGTGTGTGTGTGTGTGAAATCGTGTCAGGTTGTTTTGTGATTTATCCATGGTAGTTTTGCGAACCCGCTCGAGGAACGTGGTGGACGTTTGTGGCTCCAAGTCCGTCTTCGCCGCTTTGTTGTCCGACGGCAAGGTGGTGACCTGGGGCGAGGGCAGAGCTTGTGACACCAGCGATGTGCAGGAGACACGCAAGGGGTGTAAGTGGAGCGAGCCCGTTGGGGGCCCCCGAAAGGATCACTCCGGCCAGATAGAAATCGGCTTTACCACTTGATTTAGAGGTGCCCCTGGTACAACAGGTGTTTTTTGGTTCTATCCCTTAAGAAACCCTGCAGAATGGTCGATTTGCGTGTGGCCCTTCAAAACAACCCCAAATGGGTAACCTAAGCAAAACAACACACCCCAACTCTGTTGTCCATGGCCGACCTTTTCACCTCTTGGGTGTGTCTTTCTGGTCTACAAAAAAGGTCACAACAGATGATCACCTTGTACTTCCAGGTCACACCCCTTGCTCCCTTTTTGGGTTCCAGGTTGATTTGCAGAGGAGCAAGTAAAACCGTTGCTCCAATGTTTCGTTTCATGCTAGGTCTTATTGGATGCTCTAAACTTTCTCGCAGCCGCTCGCAGCAGCTGGAAGTCAACCAGTGCTTATGCCCTGAAAGCGACCTGGGCATATGCCTTTTTATAGCTGTTGGTTTACTGTGCAACGATGCTTCTTAAACGGAGGGCCAACTCGTTTTGACAGATATATACCCATTGCGGTCCCCCTTTCCGCGCTCACATACAGGGAGTTGCGCAATCTATCCACCCGCTGAAGTTGTTTGCTTTTTGTTAGTTTTCCCAGGACCAGCTGAAGGAGACTCTCCGCAAGCGCCCCTGCTCCGAGATGGCGTGATTTGCGGTCCAAATGGGGAGATCGCCTGTGCCCGGCAACGAGCAAATGGACGGAACGTCTTTGGAAACCCTAAGCCTTTAGAATGGAACATGGGCAAGCGACAAGATGCGCAAAGTAGTCAGAAGTGAGGTTAGGGAGGGGTGCTTATCAGCCGCTTCTTGGGGCGCTTGGGGTGATTCGCAGCCGCGGTTCAGCCGTAGTGCGGACAGGAGAACTCCTTCCAGAGATCCTTTATCTTTTAAACCGCAAATTTCCAGGAGGTTTGGAGAGGCGCAAAGGGCGCAGACAAAGGGCTGCGGCCAAGGCCAGAACAAATCGGCGGCTCAGATGAAGATGGCCTGCCACCACAATCACATGTACATAGAGGTGCTTGCACCAAGTCCTTCAGTCAAAAGCGGCGTGGTATGCATGGTGCCACGACATGCTTGACTCGACTGCAGATTCTGCGCTTCCGCAAAGGGTATATGTGTGGACTATCTTCTGCTGATCCAAATGAAAGTATGAAGTGATTCGAAGGGCAGCCAGACATTTCCTCACTGTTTCAACCAACAGACATCAGTTTCACATACACCTGCGGCCTTTGTCGAAGGCCTACCAAATCGCGTTCATTTTCAGGCTGAGTGAATCTGAGACCGCTGATTTGACATGCGCTGGCCCGATTCCGTTCATGGAAAGGATCCGGCTTCTTCTTTTGGCACACACACACACACATGACCATATCGACTGAAAGGAAGCACCTTCAGAGGACCCCAAAATGCTGGACCTGAGCGCGTAATTAGTATAGAGGAAGGAATATTTCACCGTGAAACATCCTTTGCAAAACACAGTGTCACAACTGCTGGTCTTTGCAAACAAACCTGCAGCCACCATGACAACTCTCAGGCTTGGAGGGCTCAATTCTGGGGCCGTTTTTTTGGTTTTACAAATTTGTTTTACCTTCCCCAGGAAGCGCTTCGCAACCCACTTCGCGTGATGCAAAACTTTGTTTCATCATTTTTAAGGGGATTGCCAAACGGAATTCGGACCACCCATGCAGACCACAAGCAAATCAGCCACAGAGCGTCCTGGATTGCAGAAATCTCCAGCATGCTGGACCCCATGCCCAGTTCCGCTAGTCCAGCCATGTGTAATTACATAGATTAATTATGGCACGAGCCGGAGTAGATTCATACTATGGGTCCATACATTTGGCCTTTGGCTGTGACTTAGTACAATTCCAGGAGTGTGCCATTCGTGCGAAACTCCCCACTTCGCACCTGTTTTGCCCAAGCGGCCTTTTCCAAACCTGGCTGGCCCTTGGCTCTTTTTGGATTTCCTTCGTGTTCCTTTTAACTGATGACAATTGCCATTTGTTGCGGGGGGGGTCCAGGCGGTGCGTTTGTATTGATGCGGTTGCCCCTTCAAATGAGCAATCCTCCTTGGGCCTTGCTTGGTGAAAACTGGACAGCCTCCCACCGTAAAGCCTCACAATTTGGGTACAGCCTGTTTGTACCAGGTCTTGGGTTTGACTCGGGCGTTGCCTTGCAGTTTTCGAGATCAGTTTAATTATGGAACTGTTTGCATACTCTTTGATCGCATGATTCGCATGCCCTGCTCACAAATTAGAATTTTCTTAGGAGTTCCGACCACCGTGAGCTTTCATGGAAGGATGTAATCTGCCTGCACTGCAGAGCCTTTGGCTCAACCATCAGGTCTGAGCAGATTTAAGCGAAGCCATGGAGAGCCTCATCAAAGCCCTGAACCAAATCACCTTGCCAGCGGCAATGGTGCTTTGTACTGCTCCTCGATGGTTCTAAAGTAAATGTTTTGACCCATTGACCTTCTGACTCCTGAGTGTGTTGTTTCAATATGTTGGTCCATGTTTAGCCAAGGACGTAAAAGGTTTACATGTTGTTTCCTGGCCCTTTGAGCAAGTAAGGCTCTTGTTTGCCTACCTGGATTAGCACAGGTGTTTGGGGCACTTGCGGAGTTGCTTGCTGTCGTTTGCCTTGTCCTTGTGAACCTGGCCATTGTGACCAGCTATTGCCTGCCGTGCTTCAGTGTAGGCCTAGGCGCGACAATCGTTGCATGGCGTTACGGGAACCGGCTCGCGGACATTGTCAAATCCATGGAGAGATGTTGGATATCGACGGTGCAGCAAGTATTCGGGCAATCCATTGCTGGAGTGATGAAGCCAATGTTCTTAGCCGCGGTGGTGGTAGCCGTTCTTACAATATTCGTTCAATTGTTACAGCTAGGAATGTTACAGCTAGGAATGCAGTCCCATGAGCGCCAGATACAAGCACATCAAATTCAAGACGACTGGGCGCGGCATCGCATGCACTTCGAGCGGCAGCAGAACGCCCACCCTCTCCGCTGGTTGCCGTGAGGAATGAAGCCACAGCCTTTGATGTTGCATTGAGCAGACCAGATAGACCGCACTTGCGCACGTGTGTGTGTGTGTGTGGGTGGGATTTGAAGAATTGTGTTTTGTCATGCGTTGTATGTGTGTGTGTGTTGCATACACGTAAATGTAAAATATTTGTTTGTGTTATGTATGACGAATGTGGTGAGCCGAAACTTGACAAAGATAACGGTTGCCTTTTGTGGCGATTTGAACTTGAGTGGTCGGCGATCAATTTAACTTGCATGAAATTACTAGTAACTTGCCCGGGCAATACTCTTGCCCATTGCGGCACCACGGTGGCAGCTAAGCTTGCCTCACCCGGCGGCCTACAGGCCCACAGTTCATCAGTTCCTTGCGCATTATTGAAGAAAAAGGGAAATGTTCAGGTACCTCCTCAGAACATCCTCATAAAACTTGTGAGGCTTACAGAAGAGGTGATGCCGGACAATTTCGTTGCTGACGGGCCATAAAAAGCTCGGAATTCCCCTTGATCAAGACAGCCTGGAAATCCCCTCTGCCGAGTCTGGCGAGGCGTTCCTGGCGCGGTGCAAGCCTTGGAGGGTTTTAGCTGCTGTGCCACTGTCTGTGAGACGTTGTGGGATGATATCACATAGAGCCGGCGAAGCCGGTGGTCGGAAGGATATTAAAGCATAAAGCAAGAGTTATGTGTTTATTTAGTTTGTTCTGTCGTTTTATATTATTCCTTGTTTCTTCCTTGATGGCCATTGCTGATTTGCTTTACATCATTTCTTATTTCTTTCTTTCTTACTTTATTTCTTTCTGTGTTTCTGTATTTATTATTTATTTCTTTATTTATTTCTGTCTATACTTATTTGTTTGTTCATTTATTTCTTGATTTATTGATTCTTTATTTCTTTCTTTCTTTCTTTCTTTCTTTCTTTCTTTCTGTCTTTCTTTGTTTCTTTCTTTTGTTTGTTCGTTCGTTCCTTATTACTGTATTCCTGGGTTGCTTTATTCATGTTGTGTTATTTCTTTATGTCTCTCTTTTGTGTCTGTCTTTCTTTCTATTTATGTATTGATGTTTCTGTCTACCCATCTGCTTTTTATCTATCCATCTATCTTTCCATCCATCTATCTATTTGGCTGTCTATCTATCTATCCATCGATCGATCTACCTATCTAATCTATCTATCTATCTATCTATCTATCTATCTATCTATCTATCTATCTATCTATCTATCTATCTATCTATCTATCTATCTATCTATCTATCTATCTATCTATCTATCTATCTATCTATCTATATATATATCTATCTATTTGGCTGTCTATCTATCTATTCATCGATCGATCTACGTATCTAGTCTATCTATCTATCTATCTATCTATCTATCCATCTATCTATCTATCTATCTGTCTGTCTGTCTGTCTGTCTGTCTATCTATCTATCTATCTAATCTATCTATCTATCCATCGATCGATCTACCTATCTAATCTATCTATCTATCTATCTAATCTATCTATCTATCTATCGATCTATCTATCTATCTATCTATCTATCTATCTATCTATCTATCTGTATATCTGTCTATCTATCTATCTATCTATCTATCTATCTATCTATCTATCTTTATCTGCCTATGTGTATACATATAGTCATCGATACACATATATATATATATCATGTTTCTCGATCTATCTATCGATCTATCTATGTATTTATCTATCTACCTGTCTACATATCTGTCTATCGCTACCTGTCTATCTCTACCTGTCTATCTATCTATATCTATTGATATCGATGCATCTATCATTGCAACTATCTCCTCATTGCTCTATCTATATGTCTAGATAACTACCTACCCATCTATCTATCGATCTATCTATATATCTATCCATTTATCGACCTTGCGAAAGTGCTGCGCTTGCCGGGCCATCTGTACCTGAACTTGCGCAATTGGTGCGCGCCTGCCACACAATCTGTACTTGACTCGAAAGTGCTGCGCATGCCAAGCAAACTGTACTTGACCTTGCGCAAGCGCTGCGCCTGCTACAAACTATGTAGCCACGAAATCTGTACAAAACCCTGCGCCTGCCACGCCATCTGTACCTCACCTTGCGCAAGTGCTGCGCCTGCCATGCAGTTGCAACCTTGCGAAGCCTTCGTGTTGCCATGCCATGCGCCGAACCTGCGCCGAACCTGCGCCGCGTACGCGCCGAGACTGTGCCAGACAGGCATCGAGAGGCGGTTGACATCGACGCAGACTCGCAGATTAACTCCCGATGTTTATTTCCCCGCCACGCGCCCACGCATGGTTTCTCACACGCATTCATCCTTTCTTCATCTTATCTGCGCAGTGCTCAAAGGGACCTTTCACTTATGGTCAAAAGAAGTTTAATGCCATGGCAGCTAGTTTCCCCTTGCGTTCCCCCACTGAAAATGGTCAAGCACCGCAACAAGGTTCCTAACATCCCCACATAAACCTGTACCAGAGGCATTTTCACAACCCCTGCTGCAGTTTTGGGATTCTCAATCAGAAGGGGACCGTTACCTGAGGGAATGTGTACTGTTCATGGCCTCCTTGGGCTGGCCTCCGCACGCTGTCACTGGCTTTTTGTGCCTCGGCCACAGTGCTTAGAGCGAGCTGATTCTGCGAGCCTTCAAAGCTTAGATTGCTCTTCCTATGGACAATTTGTGCTACCAGGGAATCAGAGTGAGCATTACATTTTATCCGATTAACGCATTTTGCTTCCACCCAACGCCTTTACTCGGGCAGGGATGGTCATCAACCTTTTCAAGGGAAAATCACAATGTAAACGTTTCCATGACCATAGGTGAACCTGCCACGCACTACTTGGCTCAGGGACACTAGAATCCCAATCTTATCTCGCCTTGTTTGGCCGTATGTTGCATCAAATTGAGTCTGTCATATAGCCCTCAGAGAATCGTACCCCTCGATCATTGACTGCGTCTCAGTGCACGTGGGGCCAAACCCATCCAAGGCCGGTGAGCTGGAACGAGGCCCAGCATGGCGATTCAGCCAAGAAGCTTCCAAACTAATTATCTGATTTTGCTAACAGATGAAAACTAGGGGGATTCTTGCCCAGATAGGCTCTGGAGTGGTTGGAGTGGCTCTGGGTCAGCGTTCCAGATAGGGTTCTGGGGTGGCTGTTGGGGATACCACCAGGGCTTATTTTCCTGCGGGTAGTGGTTTAAGAGGAGGTTGTTCAATGAATGGTGGTTTCAACTGGATTCAACAAGGGGTTGGCCTTCAAAAACCATCCCTAAAAGATTCAGCGCGTTTGGTTGATTGGTTGAGGGCGAAGGACGTTGAATGCTAAAGTCTGTCCTGGACCAGGGCTGGTTTCTTTACAACATGCCTTGTGGTCTTCGTCCAATTGCCAACAGTTCCTCATGTTGTTGGCAAGGATAGATACGTTGGTAAAGTTGTGCCGGGGTTGAACTGCACATGCTTTGGCGGACTGCTGTGCTGGTGCTGGGCTTGGTTAAATGTTGTTTTAACATACCGATGCAGCTGTGAGGGGAGGACGATCCTCTTTTCCTCCAGTGATAGACTCCACATGCAATACTTAGACTGAGAACCCGACGTGGTACGAGTGGGATTATTCCTTCACACAATCGCGCTAATGCTGTTTAGGGATGCCGCTCCCTCCTCAGCCACTGGGCGCCACGAGAGGGCCACAGGATCAAACTGGATGGCAATCTGCGGTCAGCTTTCGCAGATTCGAGGACCAACGTTTATGTGCAAAAGCTGGCATGAATCTAAGGAAGCAGCCATAGGATTTGCTATGGGAAATTCGTCAGAGGCTGTTTTGGTGGTTGTGTGGCTAAGTAACGGTAGAGTTTGTTTCAGACACTTCTGATTCAAGCCAGCTTAAGGGCTCCCCCAAATTTGAGAAGCAGAGGCTTAACGAAACACATGTAGCTTAAGCCGCAGTGCATTGGCTGGGCTCTTGGGCTCGCGTCTTTCTTGCGGTGTGCGAGTTCTGTTTCCGAGCTGTATTGCATCGGGGTAAGCTAAAGGGGCTGAACAAGAGGATCAGACCTAAGAAAGTGTGGCGCTGTGCCTCTAAGAGTGGCAGGGGGTTGAAGTGTGGTTTTGGGAGCTGTGAAGTTTCCTCCAGAAACCTTCGTGGATAAACCACCTTTGTGCATAGGGGTGGGCCTCGAGATCAAAACAGCTGCGCCCCTCATTTCGTTCGCACTTGTCGGTGCGGTGGCATGGTCTGGAAACCTCGTGCGTTCTGGACTTCTTGAAGTTGGTAGCGGAGCCCGAGATTCGGGCGATCGCGAAGATTCTAAAGCCGCTCCAGGCCCTGGAACTCAACCTGAACCAGAATGCCGGAGGCGGAAGGATCAGGTGGTGGAAAAGGTTCATCATCGGAGGTGAACACTGGACGGGCCGACAACTACGTGCCAATCTTCAATGGCAAGCAGCGCGACTACCGCGAATTCAGGAAGAGATGTGAAATCTACAAGAGAAAGATGGAGCTGGCTGGCAGAGGCCGTGAGACTTCATACAACATCATCACGATGCTGCAGGGAAAGGCTTGGGACCTTGTGGAGGACCTGGACATCACGTCCCTAGGTGAGGCTGATGGCTATGACAAGATGTTCGCTCGCCTGGACAGCGGATTCAAGTACGACCCCATGACGGAGCTGCCAGACGACTTTGAGAACTTCTTTGTCAAGCTCCAGCGGAGGCCAGAGCAGACCTTGCAGGAGTATTCGGCCGACTTCGCCAGAGCCCATCGGAAGCTGAGGTCATCACACAAAGTGGAGCTGCCGGAGAAGGTGCTGGCCTGGTGGTTCATCAGAAAGAGTGGCATCACGCGGGAACAACGTCAGATGGTGCTCACAACCATGGGCACCGAGAAGATGACCGTGGAGGCCGCCCAGGAAGCCATGTTCTTCATCGTCGGCCAGGACTCCAAGTCAGAGAATTCGGGAGGATGGCACCGAGGACCCAGGAAGGAGATCTTCTACGCTGGAGAAAGCTGGGGTCCGGAAGAACCTGAGGATGAAGACTTCCCGAGCAACTACTTGGATGTGCACTTCCTGAGCGAGGACGAGGGCTGGTTGGACTTCGACCAGGACTATTACGACCAACCTGCCGAGGACTACGGTGAGGCGGTGGAGGTCTACGACGTTGACGAGTATGACGATGTGTATTCGGCCTACGTTGATGCGAAGAACAAGATGAATCAGATGAGAACGGCCAGAGGCTTCTTCCCCGTGGTCGCGATGATTGGCGGCGGCGGTGGCAGCTATGGCAAGAAGGATGGCTGCAAGGGTAGTGGAAAGAAGTTCAAGGGCAGACCCAAAGGACCAGGACCAGGAGGAGGAAAGGGCAAGCAGATGCCGAAGCCAGGACCGAGCTCACCTTCTGGAAAGGCCCGTGGACGTGCTGCTCTTGGGAAACAACTATGCCTTCGATGTGGCCAACCTGGACACTGGGCACGGAACTCTCCTCAGAGTGGCAACGGAGAGTGACGATGCCGAGGACATCAACATGGTCGAGAACGTGGATGCTCAGGTATACAGCTTGGATGATGGAGATTCTGAAGGCGAAGACAGTGCGGTGCAAGATGGCGGTGCAGGTGCTCTCCTCGGATCAAGGCACCAGGTGAAGAAGTACATCAAGTACCTGGTGGAGAAGGGTGTTGACATGGCGGAGGTGGAGGTGTATCCATGCACCAAAGGCTTTCGCTATGGCAATAGCCAGTTGGAGGAGACCAAGACCTGCGTGGTGGTGCCGACCTACATGGGTGGGAAGAAACGCAAGATGCTGGTCTACGTCATTGGTGGAACAGCCCCCACCCTGGTTGGACGACCCGTGCTAGAGAAGATGGTCGCGGTGGACTACGGCAAGAACATGATGAGATGGCCGGATCGTGAATGGCATGCGATAAAAGTGGGACCGAAAGGTGAACACTCGCTGCATCTTGCAGAGGACATCAAGGAACTGAAGGACGCGGAAGTGGCGGAATACCTCATCCCCGAAGGCGCCGAAGGTCATGTGGACTTCAAGAGCAACCTTGGAGTGCAGGCGCTACTGGTGGTTGAGGAGGACAACCTGGAAGAGTCTTACGCGGTTGAGCCTGGGACCGTTCCAATGGACATGGACGACGTCGTGGATGAAAGGAGCCGAGCCAACAGAATGCTGTTGGGCTTGATGCCGGTGGCTTGGAGTCATCGAAGACCCCCGTGACCGAGAAGGCAACGAACGCGGAATCCAAGAAGGTGAAGTTCGTTGGGGTATGCATGGACGAGAATTCATTATTGAAGACGAGGAAGCTAACTACGCCTATGCTTCGGAAGATGATCAGAGAAGCCGAGGAGGTTGTGTCCAGCAGGAACAAGATATTGCGGATGGCAAGGACATGCGAGAAAGGCAAGCCAATCCGTAGGATCTGGGAGCTCTTCGTTGGCGAAGGCCGCACCAGCAAGTTCCTCGACAAGATGAGCGGTGTGGAATCGAGGGTTTTCTCGATTCAGAATGGTTGGAACTTCGAGGACAAGGGCTGCCAGAAGAAGTTCATGGAGCTGGTGAAGCGGGAAGAACCAGACAAGATCCTGATGGCACCGATGTGTCGATTGTGGTCGCCCATGCAAGAGCTATATGCCTGCCGTGCTGAATGGGAGAACCAGCAGTTGGTCAAGAATCGCACCCAGAACCATGACAATGTGCTGATGTTTGTGAGAGAGGTCTACCTGGAGCAGTACCAGAATGCCTGAGAAGCAGCGCTGGAACATCCCTGGTTGAGCAGAGCATGGAAGACGAAAGCGTGGCGTGACCTGCCAGGACACATGGCCTACGTGGACCAATGCATGTATGGTCTAAAGACGCCAGATGAGTGGGGTGTGATGGTTCCCTCCAAGAAGCCGACCTGTTTTTGGACGACCAAGAAGTCTTTGGCAGACGGACTTGCGAAATGGTGCAGTGGTGATCATCAGCACCAACCACTTGAAGGACATACCCCTGGCTATGGATCAAGGACAAAGATGGCGGAGAACTACCCCCGGATGCTTGCGAAAAGGCTGGCAGACCTGATGGCTGTTGCCCCGGTGGTAGATGACGTGATGGCTGGAGAGGATGCTGAAGAGCTCAAGGACGAGAAAGATGTGATCAAAGCCGATGATGAGCAGGCAGATGCTCAGAAGAGAGAGGATGAGTCGATCAAGAAGAATCGACAGCTGCGAGCAGAAGTTGGACCGCAAGCCTTCAACTACGTGAAGCGGCTACACAAGAACCTTGGTCATCCTGCCCCCGATGTGCTTTGTCAAATGCTCAACGAGGTGCAGGCGACCGACACGGTGCTGAAGGCGGCGAAGAACTACCTCTGTCCAAGCTGTGTGGCTCGGACCAAGCCTGGTGGAGTGCCTCCCGCATTTGGACTGACGGCCAAAGAGTTCAACGATCGTATCGTGGTGGACTCAGCGTGGATCAACACCGACACGGGCCGGAAATGTGTGCTGACCATTCTGGATCACGCATCTTGAAGGCCGAGCGTGCGGAGGAGCTCATTAAGGGCATCGAGCGGGCTTGGATCAAACAGTTCGGAGTTCCTCGCTTCCTGAGGACTGATGAGGCGAAGGGCTGGGCTAGTCGGATGCTTCGGGACTGGGCCAGCGACAAGAACATTGCCCTGGAGATTGCGCCGGCGGAGGCACACAATTGGCTCGGCGCAGTGGAGAGAAAGCACCAGGTCATTCGGAGAGCACTGGAGCTCTTCATGGAGGACGCCAACAACAAGACGGAGAAAGGGCTGCTACAAGCCTCAATCTATGTCCCGGGCCAGGTGAACGCGATGAGCATGACGCGTGGCTTCACGCCAACTCAGTGGGTGATTGGGAGGAGTCCCAACCAAGTACAATCACTCACCGGCGACCTGTTCACCCCGACAGTTGACGCCTTGGATGCAGCTGGTGAGTTTGCCAATGTGTAGAAGAAGCGACTGGCAGCTCAAACGGCGTTTATACGCGCAGACAGCGATGCCAAGCTCAGGCGGGCCATGAACCAGAACTACCGGCAGATCAAGGACGCGGTGGTGGTTGGACAGGTGGTCTACTACTGGCGGGAGAAGGGAGCCGGAATCTTGCAGAAGCAGAAGTGGCGTGGACCGGCAAGAGTGGTGGCCATTGAGCAAGATAACAAGGATCGCGATGCCGTGATTTGGCTGGCACATGGGGCCTCTCTGCTGAGATGCGCTACGAATCAGGTGCGCCCCTGCGTTGAGGACACAGGGATTCCTTTGATCTCAGACCCCAGCGCGGCGCTGAAGGACCTGCAGGAGTTGAGGGCGAGAAGTACCACGCAGTTCAAGGATGTTTACCATCCTGAGTTGGCGGGAGACGAAGAAGATGACATCGAGGCGCTCGACGCCGAGTATGAACCTGAAGAACCTGGAGAGCCAGGTGAGTCACCCGAGGTGGATGAGAGCATGTTGCCGGGCATCGTGGTTCCTTTGATCCGGAGCCATGCGAGAAGGGCGAGCGGGTCAGAACCGATGGGACCAGAAGACGGGCGTCAGAAAAAGGAGAGTGACCGACCTGAACCTGAAGGCGTGAGAGAAGAGAAGCGACGCCGTGTCGCAGATCCTTCAGATGTGCCCGTACCCGAAGACATTGCCGATGATGACCTCATCATTGATGACATCACCTTCGTCGATGGCATGGATGGCTGGGTCATGGTCGACGGTGAGTACGAGCTCTCGGATGTGTGGATGGTCCAGAACTTGCGGAAGATGGAGGCATCAGAGAAAACGATGACAGCTGATGAGAAGACCCTCATGATGCAGGCTAAGATGGAGGAGCTCGAGAACTACTTCCGCAACAAAAGGTCTGGAACTTTGCGGAGGTGAACCCGGGCGATGAGTCGCGGATTGTGTCAACACGATGGGTGCTGACATGGAAGGTCACGGAGAATGGTCCGAAGGCAAAGGCACGGCTTGTGTTGCGCGGATACCAGGACCCGGACCTGATTGGGCTGGAGAAATCAGCGCCAACGGCAGGGCGACTTGAAAAGGTCTTCCTCATGCTCTTTGTGCAGAACCTGGACTGGCTGATGTTCGTTGGGGACGTTCGAGCAGCTTTTCTGTCTGGAGCAAGCTTCGACCGGAAGATCCTCGCCAAGCTACCCGCGGACTGTAGTGCTCTACTTGGAGTACGTGGACAAGCCTACATGCGGCTGCTGAAAAGCGCATATGGCCTCGCGGATGCGCCATTGCTGTGGTATCGGGAGGCAAAATCCAGAGTGGAGAAGATTGGCTTCAGGTGCCACAGACTGGACAAATGTTGCTTCATGCACTACGGCAAGGCCGACTACGCACTGAAGGTCATCCTCATCATGCACGTCGATGATGTGATGTGCGCCCAAGCTCGTGAATCGGAAGCAGATGCTGTGGTCGAGGAAGCGCGCAAGAACTTTGACTTTGGCAAGTGGAAGAAATTGTCGGAGAAGAACCCCATCACATACTGCGGATGCCAGATCAGCATTCAACACGGTGAGATCAACCTGGATGCGGAGGAGTACCTCAAACAGGTCAAGCCGATCACTGTGGATAAGAACGGAACCGGTGACATGACGGACCGGGAAGTTTCGAAGTGCCGCGGTTTGCTTGGAGCACTTCAATGGCCAGCAGGACAGGTGTCCCCACATCTTTGTGCTACCACGGGCATCCTGGCGGGTGAGGTCGCAGCAAGGGCAAGGACCGCAATTACGGAGCTCAACAAGGGGCTGAGGTTTGCCAAGGCGACAGCTGGGGTGCATCTGAAGTTCCCAAGCATGGTGAAGAACCTGGACGAGCTGTGCTTTGTGGCGTTTTCCGACGCGGCTTTTGGCATTCGTCGGGACTTTAGCTCGCAAGGTGGCTACATCCTGGTGGCGGCAAACAAGAAGTTGCTGGAGGGTGAGTGCATGCGGTACACAACCCTGGCTTGGAGGTCATTCAAGCTGGATAGGGTGTGCCGGAGTTCGCTTTCCGCAGAAAGCCAAGCATGTGCGACGGCGACGGACGAGCTGATGATCACCAAGCTCTTCTACTCCCTCATGCTTGATCCTGACCAAGATCTGAGATCTGGCGAGACGGTGAAGAAGGCGGGTCAGAGTGCGGTGGTGATTGATGCTCGGGCGTTAGACGACGCGACCAAGCGGGACACGATCAAGAACGCTGTGGACAAGCGGGCTGCTGTGGAAATCCTGTGCATTGAGTTCACCGGCAGCGAGATCAGGTGGGTGAGCTCAGAGAGACAGCTGGCGGATGGGCTGACAAAGCTGTCAGCAAAGCAGTCACTGGCCGATGCGCTGGGCGGTGGCTACATTCAACTGGTCTTTGACGAGACCTTCACAGCGGCGAAGAAGAAGACCCACAAGGAGCGGAGTCAGCAAAGCCAGGTGGTGCGCGGAAGCGCCGTGGCGAACTATGTGAAGGCCATGATCATGGCCAATGCGGCAGAGTGTGCAGAAGGAAAGTCAGCGGAGGACGATGATGACTTCGACTGGCTCATCATCTACGGTGGCATCATGGTAGTGGTTGTGATGAGTGTGCTTATCACCATTTTGGTGATGAAGCTCATCAAGGCAGAGAAGAAGAGCATGCGAGACATGGAGACGCAGACCGAACGGTGGGAGCTTGAGAATGTGAAGAGTGAGAATGCCTTCCTGAGAGGAAGATGCCAGACCCTGGAAAGGCAGGGAGTCGTCACTCGGGCACCTCGCCAAATCGTGATCACGCCGACCGGAGAGAAATTCCATCGGTCAGGATGCGGGCATGTAAAGCAGCGAAGCCGAATCCTGGACGCGTGCAGAGACTGCATTGGCGGCTAGGTTTTCTACCTTTTTGGGCGTGTGAATTTTCCTCCAGAAACCTTTGTGGATAAACCACCCTTGTGTCTCGTGAGCGAACGCCTCGGCGAGAAGCCAGTGAACCAGAACCAGCACCACCATCTGAAGTCAGTGGAGAAGCAGGTGCACTTGTCGGTGCGGTGGCATGGTCTGGAAACCTCGTGCGTTCTGGACTTCTTGAAGGGAGCCATTGTTGTTTGACTGACTCACGCCACTACCCCCAAGCAATGATACGTGATATTTGTTTGCTGAGCACTTTCCGCTGGGAACTGTTGTATTTGATTCAAGGTGCCTTGGTGGGGGGTAGTTTCAAAGGGAAGGCACAGGACACATTGCATTCGTGTCTGTTTCTCGGGTCACCTTTGAATTTATGTCAAATAAAGTTCAGTGAGTATGGGAGATAAGTGGAACAAAGCGGGAAGCATTACTATTTTTTGAAATGCAACATGTCGATTCGTTGTGTCTAACCTTAGTTTTTCAAACATAATGTTAACCTCGGATTAATCCGGAGCGCTAATGTTGACCCAGATGAAGAACCCTCTGGTTGATTTTGATCGAGGGGTAGCCCCTCGTGGGGATTCATCACGGGGAACACCCCCCTATGATTGGTTCATCCGGTGTCAACACGAATCCACAAATGGCTCCCCTGGGCAAATTCGACTCGGGATTCCTGGATCCGGATTCGCCAGGCCGACCCCTGGCTTTCGCACAGCTTGCCCTGGGTGCGCTTATGGGGGGCTGGAATTTTCGAATGTGATGCTTGAACAACACGGTTTACTGTTTACCAGAAGGAAACGGAAAGAGAGTGGGTGAGGTGCCGCTGTTTTTTGCTGTTGGACCCCCGCTTTTTAGACTCTGGTGACGTACAAGACAGTTCAGGGTGGGGTAGCCATCGTACCATGCACCTACGGGACAAGTCCTAACTCAGGTTGTCAACCTGTTTGATCCACAGGTTGTTGAGAAAAGTGCAGCAAGGCGCGCTTGGAAGATGTTGATTCGGGACCCCCGAGTTGGTTTAAGCTTCCGAGCAGAAGCAAAAATGCCACTGAGCCGTTTGGACGGAGTTTGATCTTGTTTGGAGATGCGACGTGGCTGGTCTGTTTGTCGAACATGCAATTCGATGTTACAATATCCCTCACCCATTTCTTGGTTCGGTCGGTCCACGAAGCGAGCGGAGTGAATGGGTGAGGTTGGACCACTTCTCTTCGTTCGTTGCAATGAAAAGAGCGAGAGAAACCTAGCGTTGGAATCTGTCTTCTATTTCCCTTTCCTTTTCCTCTAGCACCCTCAATCTTAGGTAATAGAAAAGAAACGATAAAGAAGACGAAGAGAAGTGATTGGGGGCTAAAGGGAAAGGGTGTCTATATGTTCATCTCTATCCATCATTATTTCTGAGATGAAAGATTTGTAAGGTAAAATAATGATGGATGAAGATTTAGAAAATCAGTAATTAATTCTCATCTGGATCTTGTATTTTTGTGTTTGAAGATTAATTATGGATCCAGCCATCTCTCTCATACCTCCATTCACAATGTAATTCCTGTAGAAACGAATGGAGGTAGAGAAGAGAGAGAGATGAAAGAAGGAACAGAGAAGAGATGAAAAGTGATTCCTCCAACCTGCTAACTTTCCAAAATAGACAGACAGGAAATGGCAGGTTGGTGAGGGAGGAATCCCAACTTTTAATCTGGGAAATACAATATGAAAAGAGATAGCATTCGTAAGTTGTAAAAACATGAAGTTTATGAATTTCTTCTGTACTCAGTACTATCTAGCTCCGTATATAAATTGTCTTACTTATAATATCCTTTCTTTTACGTTGTATTTCTGGCTTCCTTGTTCATTGTCTTTATATGTTTTTGTGATTTGTTATTTGCAGTTTGATTATTGTTATCTTTCTATTTCTTTCATTATATATTTTTGTATTTTGGCATTTAATATTGTTGGTCTTCATCTCTTCGTCCACGAGCCGCCTCAAAATCGGGAACCTTGATTGCGTGGTTTGAAAAGGACATCAACATGAAACTAACCACCTGAGAAACACCATGAACCACGCAGACATGTTGGCCCTCTCACATTATCGCCCTGATGATGGCTAGGTTGGCAGGCAGCTCAGGAAGAACCACGAATCTCACGCATTCATTTGGCATGTTTCACAGTTTTGTTCGCTTATTTTACCGGATTGCAGAACCTGGTCTCTCCGTAAGTTCTCTCCGTAAGTTCTTGCTCAACAATCTTGAGGGGTGTGCTTTGAGCCATGTTATTGTTGGCTGTGTTTGCACGTTTCTTCGGCTGCTGTTGTTTGCAACCGTTCCTCATAGATAACGCTCAAAGCTGCAAGCTGTAGATGTGCTGGTCAATGTGAACTCTTCCCAGCCTGCATGGACAGCAAAGATGGCCGTGTGGTTTGCGAGGACAACAACATCTCGGCATAGATCCTTGCCCGACCACCCGATTGAAGGGTGACCAATGGTCAACATTCAATGACATGGTTCATACTTGCGGATTGCCACCGCTACTCACAAATGTTGCAGGCCAATTGGAGGCGCAGTGTACACATAATCTTTTTGTGAACCAGGGTCGTGTCACTCCCTTTGTTCCTCAAAGAGGAGAAAAGTGCATGCCCTTCTGTTTTGAGTCACTGCCTTTTGGGCTTGTCTTTTTGGAGGTACCCAAGGAACGCCAAGTGAAGCCAACAAGCGTTTGGTGTTCCCCCATTTGCAGACAAGCCCGTTTGGCGAATCTGGAAGCAGCCACGGCCAGGCAGCGCAGATGGCCTTGCTAGCGGCATTGGCGCGTTTGACGGGAACAAGCTCATTGAATTCTAAGCCCCCCCCCTCCCCCTCAATTGAACCCTAGTAAGGCCACTGAATGGGTGCTACATAGCCCATAGATCTTTTTTGCCCCAAAGGGACACCAAAAGGGGATGGGTAACTTGTATTTGTTTTCTTTTAATGTAAACCCCCTATTTGGCACCAAGCTTATCGGCATGTACGGGCGAGGCTTTAGAGGGGGAGAGGTTGGGATGCTGTGACCAGTGAGATTGGCTAACAGGATGCGACCTCCTCACTAGGGAGTGGGCCGGGGGCGAGGCAAATGAGTTTGTTGGCATTTGCCAACCTGGTCAGGGATTCATTAAGAGCTGCCTTGATTTGGGTCCGTGAGCACCCAGGTGATGAGCACACATAAGGGTCCGAATCCATGTTTGTCACCAAACTACAAGGTTTCCGCCCGCTTGTGGGCGGTGTTGTAAACTGAGCGCCAACTGTTTCCAAGTTCATTCTTTGGAACCAGAGCCTGAAGGGGCGGCTAAAGGATGTCGGACCAAGGGCACACAGGGTGACAACTGAGACAGGCCAAGTTACCCACATCCAGAGCAGAGCGCTGTTGTTTCCCCATGTCCTTGTGAAACAAGCAAATAGTTTTGGTCAGGGCTCAGCGGCACCCTTTACTATACCCCTTTCAACAAAGACTGCAAACGCCACGGATCTGAAGTAAGAACTTACCACCCAACAATCAGGGGCCCAAGCTCGTACCGTTTACCGCATGCAGACCTTCATGGAAACCTGGCCCTTGCACAGAACCATTGTTGTGCTTTTCAGTGCTGGCACTCCCGGCAAAGGCAGAAGAGACCTTGCTATCTCTTCCAATCCCTTGAAAGGGTCCACAAGACCCCAACGCCCACAGGATCCAGGATGTTCGGGACTGGCTTGGCTCGTTTATGCTTGCTTTCTGGTACAAGGAGCTGGATGGCTGGCCGTGCTGGTGTTGGAAGCAGCCTGGAGCCGGCCTGCAAGGGGTTGCCTTCTGAAAAGCTGGCACGTGTGGCTGCCTCGCCGGCCTTCACGTCGGCGTCTATAGCGCAAGCAGCTACTCGCGGTGCCAGCGTGGCAAAGCTCTGTGGCCGAAACCATGGTCGTCGGACTTTCTGGTCGGCATGCTAACAGAGCTCGCGATGTTGCCAGTGCAGAGCAATGACGTGTTGGTGGAGGTGGAGGCTGGGCCCAGCTGGATGCTGGCCTTGCAAGAACAGGTGCGTAGCATGGACGGCGAGGCCAGGCTGATGGCCAGCTTTGTCTTATCGATGTTCATTTATATGTCCACATCCGCTTCTCTTCATTTGTGTAGCTAAACGGGTGCAGCCAGAACATGCCAAATATCATCGGATATTAGAGTTATCAAGTGTGCTTCCCTATGCTTCTCCATTCTTGAGCCAAAAGCCTTGCGCATAGAAGCTCAACCCCATCTTTGCCTTTCGTTTAGTCCCAAAAGTCTCGAAGACCTGGTTTTCGGCCCGCCCAACGCCCGACCCCACCGCCAGGATTCCAACGACTTCAGGCGGGGGCCAGGCTCCGGGCGAATCTTCGCGCCGGGCCTGCGGGCCCGGGGGTGGGCGGTCGCCTCACACGGCGGTGTGGACTGGGCCGGGTGCCGGGAAAGGTATGGGGGGTGTTGTCAAAACGAGGGACCCATTTTGGGACCTGCGTGCCGGCTTTCAAAGGGGAAGCAGGAAGGGCCACTACTTTTGACAAGCCTTCATGGGGGAAATGGCGAATGAGTGAAACTGGTGGGTTCGTGCCTTTGGTGCTTGGCGGTAAGTGATATGGTGAACTTCCTTGGAAAGTAATATGAAACATCCAATCACAGTGCTACAAAGCGAGTGTCCTTCCAAATGGGTGGTTTTGGGGTTAGCTAACATCAGACAAAACACCGCCGTGTGTTGATGGTTGAGAATCGAAGAGAAACCAAGCCGCTCAGCGATTGGGTATGGCACGAAATAGAGTATGGCACGGAATGGCACGTGGTGTGGACTTAGCCAAAGACGAGCCCCACAGCTCATAGAGAAAAGTGATGTCACCCACAGCGCCGCTAGGTCAAACAGTAGGCAGGGGAAGACCTTGGTTCCTTGTCGCAGTTAGGTCCACATGGTGCTCTCAATTTCGACCAACCCACCTTTGCCTGCATATGTGCACTTTCAGGTCAGAATTCGCCCAATTCCACAGAGTCTGGGTGAGAGGGATGTTGGTGAGCATTTGATTGGGTGGAGACGACTTGCGAGCTTGGCCTGGCCCCCTTGTTTCACCTGCCTGCGCCAGATGACTGAGCCTTATCAACCAATCCAACGATACCATCCTATTATGCAACAAGTGCACCGATGCTTCGTAGACAGGGGCTGGCACTGAGAAGTGGTTGCAGTCGCAGTAGCTTGCTAGCGACCCTTCTGATGTGGTCAACGAGATGTAAATCGTGTCTCTTGGGTACCAGGCGGTTTCTGTCATGCGGTATTGTGACTCCGTGGTCTCGCGGGAGCTTTTGCCAAAGCAACGCATGCTGTCTGTTAGAGAATGAGCGTATGCACTAGGCATGTTTACTTTGTGAGTTTGATGCCCCTTTGCAACCCCATGGCAGTTGATGTCAAGCTTTTGTGTCAAGTGTGTGCCCATGGTTGCAAGTTCTGCGGAACTTAAAGGCTCAACCTGCAACAACAAGAACAACTCAGCTGGAAGCAGGTGGCGATCCTTGAACATGCAGACAAGTGAGACTCCCCAGATAGGAGAGCAACTTGGGGAGAGAACGATGACGATATGATGATATGTAGCGCATTGCCCCAACGGTTTGCCAAGGTGTGCTTGTTCCACGAACGGGGTGGCGCCTCGATGGCAAAGATGTGAGGGGCTCGCATGGCCAGCCTGCTGGCATTTGGCAGATACGTAGAGCCACATTCTGCCATTAGGGATTGGCCGTGTTCAGCTCCCGCATTGGTTTGTCTCAACATGGGACTCCCCTCTTGCCAACCACCTGGATAGGTCCCTCATTCTTAGACCCGTTTGCATGTCTTCCCCTGACGTGCAAGGGCTCCGGACCTCCAGATTTGCGGATGTGAGTTTGTCAGGCACTCCGCCGAAGACGCCGACGACGCGGCGGACAAGACAAGAACGCTGCTTTGGGCAGGCCAGTGCCCGAGCACGCGCTCAACACGGGGAGCATGTTTCATTGATCCCAGGTCAAGTGGTGCCATGCTTTCCTGTTTAGTAGTTCTGCTGTTCTTGTTTTGCGGATGGTTCTTTCAATTAAACCAACCAACCACTGTCAGGGCTGCACTTGTTGGACTTTCGCAGAAGGGCCAAAACGGACATCCTGCAACCCGCATTGGACCCCTGATAGTTGCAGACTCTACAGCGGATGGGAACCTTGCATGTATTTGCATGCATTGCAATTCATGAGGCGATGTGTTGGGTCTGCTTCAAGGATCCAGGAGAAATTCCTGCATCCCTTGGAACTGGCTATAGAGGGCCTGTTCGGCCGGCGGGGTCAATCGTTGGAACGCATGGTTCGAAGGGAACAAGAAGGTATCGATGGCGGTAAGCAGATCGAGGCTGGAGGGCCCAGGTGTGAACACAGCCCTCGTGAATCATGTTTGCGCAAAAAACAACACAATTTAAACACAAAAAAGAGACACGTCTTCCCTGAAAATAACAAGTGAACCAGCCACAAGCCCGCCAAACTTCTGGGGCTGTCTTACTACCGTCTGTTTGTTTGGTTTCTCAAGTGGTGAGATCAAACCGTTCGATAATGACCCCGCCAGCGGCCTGCGATCTGTCAGGTGCTGAAAAGGGTACTGCGGCTGTCCAGATGCTCTGCCGAGGCCGGGGGGGTTTTCGTCAGCATTGCCCAAGGGGCGCACCGGGACCTGGAGGTCCGCCTGGGGCCTAAATGGCCGTGGGTCAACACCAATGGGATCCCATTTTGGGGTAGATCACCACCCATTTTGTCTATTTTAGTGGGGATTGGGATGTTTACTGGGGGTACGGGGTTTTTTACCCATAGCCAAATATGTGTACATCATAGGCCCTGTCTTGGGAACATGTGTGGGACATTTGGGTTGTTCCGCCGCCAACAGACTCCCAAGTTGATCCTATCTTCAAAGTACCCGACTATTTAGTTACTTGGGCCCTTACCGCCAGACCCAGTCATGGTCCACGTTTGACCATGTTGGTCTGAGTCAACATGTGAAGTTCGCCTTGGGCTCAATTGGTGGTTGTAGAAAATTTGTGAATTGCAGGTCGACCTGTTTATGTCCTAGCTAGGGGCCGGTCAACCATTGTTTCCACTTCTGCAAGGATCAGTGAGGTCAAGAAATCTGGAAAACCCAACAGCCACTGAGCCAGGTGCTGAAACTGACTTGTGTTCCGCTGGTCTCCAATTCGCCACGTCTAGATTTGCAATTGTTCATGTTGCTTTCTAAGCACTTCTGCGTTTGTGCGGCTGGTCACTACCATTGGTAGCCTGGTTGATGGACCTGTTGTGATAATTATCCGAGCTTGAAGAGTTCATGGACTGTCAAGGGCACGCTAGCCACCATGAGACGGGTGGCTCTTGATTCGGTAACAGATATTGTCAGCCGCTGGTGGAGAACAGGTGATTGATCGTTTGGGTTTCTCTTAGCTATCAGCAGATCATTGCATCCCCGGACGCAACTTGACGTTTTTAAACCTGTTCTAAGTGTATCGCTGCATGTCCGTCACTTTAAGGCCAGAGTACGTCCTCGCCCTTTGTTGTTGGGGGGTTGTGTGGGTTGGCATTGGGGTGGGCAATGTGGCTCAAACTGCCACAAGTTTTGTTGAGGGCAACCTCAAGAAGGATGTTTGAACAACGGCTTTTCACGCCTGAAACTGACCTGCCGGCTCCCATGCAGGTCACGGCCCATGTGAAAGGATCGAGTACGGCTGCCTTTGCCGCATCGGACAAAAGATATCTGGGGTTGTTGAAGGTAGGGGTGGGGAATAAAGGCCAGTGATTTGTTCAAAGAATTGGCAGAGACAAAATCCGAGGGCATGCCTTTCAGCAGGATGGTTATTCTAGAAGGAATCCCTAAGCCAAAGACAAACCCGCATCCTAGGCGTGGTTTTCTGACAGGAGCCGTATCAGAAGTGTGTCTTCTTCAGTTGGACACTTTCTGTTGGACACTTTCTGCTGGACGCTTTCTTCTGGACTCCTCTTTCGAACAATCGTGGAAGCCGACCACGGACGCCATCCTCTTGAAAAGTCCCAAAACGGCTTGAGGTACCCTTTGGTTTCCCTTTTAATTTACACTTGGCCCAAAAAAAGAAGCTCCGACTTGCCATCCGATGGGCAGGGGCCTTGCGGTTATGGCTGGCCCTCTCCAAAGCGTTGGCAGCAGCGAAAAGCCAAGGCGGGGCCCAGGGTGATACCTTTGGACGGACCAAACCTTGGCACTGCTACGAGCAGAGAGTCAAACCTATGGGCCATAGGGGGTGATGTCTCAAAGTGGCAAACATACCGGAATCCGAAAGGGATGCGCCATGTCCGCCATCCATTGCCCTTGGCCGATGGCCGGATTTCCCGTACAGATGCCTAAATGGCAGGGCTACATTCCAGGGGATATGGTCAATCACGGCTGCATACAAGCTTTTCAGGGTCCTAAATCACACAAGGCGGTCAGCCAAGGAGGTAAATTGCAGCAAGGGGCGTGCGATTGGATAGGGGCAGCGTGCAAAGATCTTCAGACAACTTGGTCAGGATTTGTATTCTTCCATTCCATTTCCAAGCAGAAGCCTAAAATGCTTGTTTGCCAGGGGGACCGTTTGGGAGAGTTGTTTGGAACATTTACCAGCGTTACCCTTCCAGGTGCGGGCCCCCTTGCCTCTTTCATTGGGCAGAGCAAAGACACGGTTCTGACACATGGGGAACTTCAGTGAATCCTCAGTTTTTTGCTGACCTTACTCTTCACTAGAGAGGTGTTAGAAATTTCCCTGGTACAGTTGATTGGAGATCCAAGCCAAACCGCATGCCAGGTGGCTATTACATCCCTTTGTTGTCTTTGCTTTTGTTTGCAATACAATCCTTGACCATCCAGTACCATCATTTGCCTTTCTTTTTTTGGGGGGTAGGGATTGGCAGGCCCACACTGCCCTGCGAAGGCCCATTCATCCTACAGGGCCTTGCCCACGGCGCCGGCGCAGCTTGTCAGCTCTGCGAGCAAGGCGTGGTGCGGCCCTTTGGAGTGCGCTTGGTTTGTTGGTGGGCGGATGTTCGCCGATGCGAATCTTGCCCATTCGGTCACTTAGGGACTTAGAGTACTGATGCTGTATCAACTTGTATCAACACATGCCAGAACTTAGCTTTCGGATTTCGACTTCTTTTTCGTCCACGCCATGCGCGCCACATGCCTAGCTGCCTAGGTGTTTGGACTATTGATTTCTTCCATATCTCCTTGGAGCCTGGGCTGCTCATGGAAATCTTTGGGTGTTTAGACCACCATTGTAAGGGTTCCCATTATGGAAACCATGGCCCACATGAGCCACAAACAAAGCTTGGGTAGAAGATTAGAAGGGACAGCCCCCGCATGGGTGCGGATATCCACCTCCTTAGCTCCTGTGTTGTTGGGAGCCTTTAGACTCAATGACAATGAAGTGGAACGCTGCGGCTCCCACCCTGGTCTTGGATCAGATGTCTCAGACAGCCTGACCGATCCTGAATGAAACTCAACACACACCTTGCAGCCACGTGGGCGGAAGCCGCAAGCATCCTGGAGCCACCCCACATGAGTGAAGATAGGAGGATGGCGGGCTGGGAAAAGTCGAAGACGTCAGCAACAAGCATCAACATGTGATCGGTTGGTCTCCCAGTGCGCGTTTACCATTGCCTCAACGTTTTTGTCCATTGCCTCCAGAAGTCTCAGAAATTCTTCGAACTGCTGTTGCGCGGAAGCTCTAATCATTGCGTCAGAGGCCGCACGATTGCTTCTTGCCTCATGTTGTAGAAAAGACTGATTGTGTGAGGCTAAGTACGGTCAACGGCCAGAAACAAAGACCGCGCCGGAAAAAAGATACCCAAAGATGGCGTCCCTCCAAAAAGAGTGGCCATGCGGCTTCCCAGGTTGACTTAAAGGGAGAGCTGAGCGCGCACTAACAACCCTGCTTGCCAGGTGCACAACCAACATGTCCAAGTGGCTGAGGGGCTAGCTCTTCATTGGTGTGTTGAAAGCTTGCTGCGCAGCGCATTGAAATCACGGGAAAAACAACCCTCCAAGTGCCAGCACCAACACTCCCATGCGGAGTGAACATGTCTTCGCGCCTTTCCAATTTTCTCGGTATGGCGCTCTGTGCCTTGCGGAGGCCTCGAGCAGCTACGAAGCGCGTCCGAGACAGGCTGGCGCAAGGATGTGCATCGTTGCCTCCATCAAAGGATGCCCACTAAATCAGGGCACCCGTTGAACGGTTCTAATGAACGGGTCAAGCTTGCACCAAAGGATAAGCATTTGTGTGTAACATCCAAGGAGAACCATTTGTGTGTGAGTATAGCATCCTAGAGCCTCCCCCCTTTGCCGGGGGAAACATCTAGTAGTTAAATGACGTGCTTTTGGCAATCCTGCCTCCATAGGCAAGAGTGTCAAAGCGTTCGAGGACAGCTCAAAGCCGCTACGGCAACGCAATGCAGCTTGATCATCAGACATATCAAGACCAACACCAGCGGATCAGCTGACAATTCATGGCTACCGTCGTGGAAAGAGAGTCTGTGGAAATGAAGTCTGTGTGTGTGGGAGGGTGAATTATGCACGTTCAATAGCAGAAATCAATATAGCAATAGCCACCGCACTAGCAATCCCGGAAATGGCAGCGGGAAAACTGGACATCTCCTAGTGGCAGTTCTCGCTGATTTCCTGTTTAACGCCCCATGTTTTTGAAAAACACGCACAGACACACGCACACACATCTAGGATATCTCAATACAAAAGCCAACATAGAGCGCCCTTATACAACAGTACATACTCCATGTAGACAGTATGTCTTTAGAACTCTTGACTTGTAGAACCGCACATGGATATGCTTCTTATACAACACTACATTCTTCTAATAGGCTTGTTGCCCCCCCCTTGAAGAGGTGTAGGCTATTCTCAACTTAAGTGCCCCTGCATGAGTGTTCTCAAAATGGTGGACCCCCTTTTGGTTGTTATTTCTCAGGAATCCAAAAGGGCACCAGCCATTTGAGGGACCGCCATTTTGAGAATCTCCCATAGGGCAGTTGACTTGAATAAGGAACCCCCTTTGGTGGTGATCAAAGGGTCCCTAATGAGAAGTCAAACACGAATGTGCATGTGGTTGCGTCATTTAAGACCCGCCCCCCAAATGGTGGCTTGCCCTTCGATGTCCATTTAAAACCACCTAAAAACGGGGACCCTTAAATCAGACACCCATTTCCCTTGAAACCTTCACCGAAAACCCCCATTGGCCAAGTTATATAGTAGGTGGTTCTGCTGCTGCCTGGCCTTATGACGGTTACAGCGAGGCCATTATATAAACGCTTTTTACAACTGGTAGAACCAAAAGTCAGCTCGGGTGAAACGGGCACTGCTGGTATGAGCGACTGCCTTCATTTGCAGAAGACTACAGTCAAGGCCGGGCCGAAACATGTTTGGTGAAACCTATTGACATTGGAGCCAAATGAGGTAGGGCCATGACATACAGGTGGCGGGGATCAACGCATACGGCCAATGCGGCGTTGGGAAAGGAGGTGAATGAGTCCGGACGGGTTCTGGGTTGTACGAAGTGGGAACACCCCACCACTAGGAAACGCCTGCCGCAGCTCGTTGCACGTTGGTCCCACTCGCAGCACTCGCAGGTCGAGGCCGAGGCCGGAGCCCGCCGAATTCCAGGGCGGTGGCTGGATGTTGAAGCATGGCTTAAACAAAAGGGAACTGCTTTAGAAAAACACACACAAAGGGTTGCGTTCAAAAGAAGGGATTGTACTCAAGTAGGTTTGCATAAAAAACTGCGTAGTTCCGAAGTCAAGGGGCGTTTGACATGCCTGGTCTTCCGTTCAAGCACTAGCCACACGAATTCCATAATCTTAGGAATTCCGCAAAGGGATGGGCCAGCCCTTTGAAATTCATGAAATTAGGGGGCTCTCCCATTTTAGAGGCGATCCCTCAATTTTGGGGGCACCCCGGAAGAATCCACCAGATTGATCAATCCAGGGTCGACAAAACGAGGCCAAACAGGCACGCGGCCCAACAGCCAGTACGATCCAAGACTCGTAATGAAGGCAGGTCAGGTGATTTAATCAAATGATGTTTTCTTGCAATGGCGAATATTTAATATGTCCTTTCCCCCACTGCCTGAATAACATGGAGCTCTTTTGAAAAGCCAGCTTCCGTGAGTAGGGCGCGCTTTGTTTCCAGCATTGGCTGCTTTAGACATCAGCCAATTTAGAAACGAACCAAGTCACCTACCCAGTGATGGGTTAAAGGGAACCAAACCCAGCTGGCTTGATTTCGGGAAGCAGCCCACGAGCACAACAACCAGCAAGCCGGCAAACGGGAGTTTCCAAGCACCAGCTAGCCAGGTTTTGTGGGGCGAAGAGTTGAGGCATGCGTTCCAGGAAGACCTTTTGAATCGCCAGAGCTGGGGCAAAAGAACTTTGTGCCGCCATGGAGCGGACGGAAGATGGCACGCTTGCTGTCGGTTAGAACAAGACATGAAGCACGGTGCTCAACTCAAACCAGCAGGCTCCCGACGAAGCACCAGGCGCATCTGCATTTTAGTATCCATGTCAAAAGGCTTGATGTCAATGGTACATGTTATAGTTCTAGTTTGGGCTACTTGCCCGACCTAGTTTGGTTTGGATTCGATTGAACAACATATTGAAAGGGTGCTAAAAGACTACCATTCAAGGGAAGCAATCGGCGGAACCATGTGGAACCCATAGATGCCGTAGGAGCATCCAAGCCGCGCTCAAGAGCAGTAGCCGTGATATGCCCAGCTGCTGTGGGTTGTTTTAGTTCTTCCAAAATGGCGAGCGGAGGAGCAACTCAAACGCAAGCTGATGAAAAATCATTGGCCCTTGTCAGGCCCCTTCTCAATACTCTTGGATTTCTGCGGTTTGAAGGGGGAAAGAAAAACAACAACCGCCGATTTTGGGGAAACCACCAACGGCAGCCTCCAAATGCGTCTCAGAATAGACGTTCCCTTTGAATACCAAAACGGAGTCCACCAATTTTGGAGACAAATCGCTGCAATGAGTCCCAACCTGCGCCCGGTGCAAACCGCCAGCTTCCAGGTCGGGCTCGGCGAACCTTGAGGCAGGCCTTGCGGATGAAAGGAAAGCCCGTGGCGTGTTTTTCGGGGCCCAATCCGCATAACGGCTTGCTCGATCCCCAACCTGCTTTTTGGGCCCATGCATGAAGTAAAATGAAAGTCACGGCAGGTTCGTGGTTGGCAAAAGCGGCCCGCCCCTTGTTTGGTGTCCAGTTTCGCCGCACACAATCCTTATGGTCATTTGAGGGGAGTGGACCCAAGCAATTGACAGCCGCATGCTAAGATGTTTTTGGTTTCTTTGTCAATCGTCAGCAGAGCTCTTGTTCCGGCAAATTCAATGTCGCCGCATGTCGCCGCTTAAGCCTGAACCCAGAGTTGGGCAAACCTGCACTGCAATGTCGAGTGCGGCAGTTGATACCGTGCTATACTTGCGGGCGTGAATCGAAATGAGGGGAACTCTTTGGTTGGGTGCGTTCATGAGCAAAGCAGCAATTCGACCGTTTAATTTGTGGATGGGATGGTGCCAAGCAAATCTTACCACATCCAGATCAGAAGCTGGGCAGGACATGCGCCCGCCAAAAGTTCCTCAGAAACCACAGGCCCTACCAAATTGTTCCGTGTCCTTTGAGGGGAACAGAAGGTCTTCTCCATGGTTTATATTATTCATATCAAGCGCTGCTTGTTGCGCGTAGGCGGTCCAAATTCGGCTGCGCGCATGCGCAGGCACCGAGATGAGACACCTACAGGACGCGCACAAAGGGAGATCAAGGTGGGGGAGCGAGCGATCCCGCGTCTTTCCGTAGATGAACGGTGCCTTCATTTTCGATTTGGTGTTCCTTCATTTTCCCTTTCAACCGGCAAAATTTGGTTTGTTCAGGGGGTCTACCATTCAAAATGGCTTGGTTTTCATTTAGTGAGGTTTCCTTCTAAACAGCCACAAGGGTTCCCCAAGTTCAGGAATCGCTGAAGGCTGTTCGAGATGTTAAGTATGACCTGGCGCATGTGGACAGGTTGCAGGGTCCTTCATGAATTCGGTGAGTAACCCTGTAGACGAACCATGATCATCCCGCGAAGAGGACCTAGTGAAAATGTTTGACGCGAATTTCGTGAATTGTGGCGTAACGGCTTGGACCTTGTTGAGGGAGTAGTGTGGCAGAACTGGTGATGGATTCTACGCAGGTCAAGATCTAAGAGAGCTTGATCACCGATCGGAGTGGAATCGGAGCAGATCGAGCTTTTATGTGTGTCGCCCGGTTTCAGTTTGTCAACGGAGTCGGCAAGCAAGTCAGGTTTGCCAAGCCACCATCATTGATGTGCGGTGCTTCAATGCCCGTGCTGCAGTTGATGAATGCGTGTGCTTGTTGTTGGTGTAATGTTAGACCTCCTTTATTAATAGTACCCTCTATTGTACAAACTGTTTTTCTAATTCAGGATTGTTTGACTGTTTTTAGGGGTCCTCTATTATGGAAAGTATTTGGTGCCGGAAACAACGCTGACAAAAATTCTGGGCAAAAAAGCTTGGCAAACAAGTCGGGCAAGAAAACGGGCAAACAAATCCTGGCAAACATTGGGAAATCCTTTTCTTGAAGTGGTCCCCAAACCATCAAATTTAAGATAAGTTCTTTACAAAAAAGTGCGGGCAAACAGTCACACAAAGGGGGGGTGCCCACAAGAGGCCCAGATTCTGTTTAATGCGAATGTGTTGGGGTCCTCTTTAGTGTCCAGCTGGTTTCGGGGTTGCTGAAAACTGAAAACCAAAGCCTCAGCCTTTTACTTTTAAAGAAGGGGACTCATCCTAAGCTCTCCCCAGCTCAAAGGTTAAAGGCCTGAGATCTAGGAAATCCATTTTGCAAGCTGTTGCCAAACCATCAAATTTAAGACTTCTTTACAAAAGGTGCGGGCAAACAGTCACACAAAGGGGGGTGCCCACAAGAGGCCCAGATCCTCTTTGATGCGACTGTTTTGGGGTACTCTTTAGTGTCCAACTGATTTTGGGGGTTGCTGAAAAAACTGTCCTTGGCAATACTAAAGTAGAGTTGGGCTAAAGCGTTAACCGTAGGTGGTCGCTTGTCTTGACTCTTAATAAGTATCCACTTGGGCCACCATTTTGGCTCAAGTGGACCTTTTGATCTTTTGTCTTGTGATTTGAAATCTTTCTTTCCCCTACTCTCAAAGCCATGTACGCCCCCGCCTACGCTGGTGCCGCGGTAGCAGAGGCCAAGGCTAAGGCAAAGGCCTCCATGGCAAAGTACCTGGCGAGCCTCGTGAAGAGGGAGGAAGAAGGATGGACCGTTTTGGCTGCTGAGGTCCCTCAGGCACCTGACGAGCGTTTCTTCTCCAGCGCAGATGAGCTGGAGCAGGCCCCCCTTATCCCGGCCAAGCGCAAGGCAGAGGATGAGCCGATGGAAGATGCAGCCCCTGGGGTGGCGCAGGTGCCGAAGGCCCTGACACGCCCCCCAGGGGCGTTCCTGGAGCTCCTGAACCCGCCGGAGGAGGACGTGCCCATGGAGGAGCTCCTGGCGAAGGACGAGAAGGAGCTGCCGATGCCCAGGTCCCCCTCGGCTGCAGCCCGCTTGGAGGAGGCCCGCCTGGATGCCCGGGCAGACGCCAAGTGGCAGAGGCGCCGGGAGCTGATGGCGAAGGTCAAGGAGCAGGCGTCCTCGGAGGAGGATGAGAACCCCGCAGCCCCCCCGCCGGGGGGGAGCGTGTTCACCAAGGCCCTCAAGGTCTCGGAGGGCCTCTACCAGTTCAGCGACGACCAGATGGCGGGCGACTTCCCTTGCTTCGATGCGACCACGGCCACTAGGCTCCGCCGACTGCAGGCCAAGGACGTCCAGCGGCTCCTGCGAGGCTTTGAGGGCCCCCAACTCAAGCGGGGGGGCCTGGAGCGCGTTGTGGAGGCCTTCTACATCGCCAAGATGAAGTACGAGCATGAGGCCCGGCTCAGCACCCCGGGACAGCAGGTTGGCAAGCGCGCTGGCTTGGGGTACGGGGGCCTGGAGAACCGCCCCCTGGGCAAGGTGCCCACATCCTGGATCTGCCCCTGCTGCACCATGCCCTGGGTGAAGAAGGGCGCCACGAAGTGCATGGGGTGCGGCAAGAAGACGGAGCCCATTGACACGGCGACCAACTCGGCCACCCTGGAGATGGCGGGCACGCATTGGCAGTTGACGGTGGATGACCAGGGCAATGCGGTCTGGACGGCGGCCCGGTCCGCGGGTGCCGAAGGCCCTGACACGGACCGGGCCCGCGACCTCAAGCTCAGTGCCTCGGTGGACGTCAGCGAGCTGGCCACCGACCCGATGGCCTGCGAGAACCCGGACCAGGCCAGCTTCTCGGACTTCGTCCCCTCCTCGGTCCGGGCGGTGATCAGGAACTGCCCCATGGAGCTGGACGAGGAGTTTCTGACGGCCCCACCGGGGGAGAGGCCCCCATTGCCAGGCGACAAGGAAGAGGGCCAGGAATGCAGAGCCTTCCACCCGTCTGCGGTGAAGGCCTTCAAGATTCAGACCCGGCTCAACGCCACCACCATCGCCCAGGAGGAGGCCAAGAAGGCGGACCAGGTGGAAGCGGTGGAGCGCTCCGCGGCGGTCCTCCACGAACTTCAAGGGGGGGCCATTGACGGAGGAGGTGATGGAGGCCTGCTCCTGAAGAACCTGGACTTGGACCTCTTCCGTGAGAAGCTGCTGGACAAGCTGGGTGCGGACTGGGGGAGACCCACACCGGAGCTCCTCCAGGCCCAGACCACTGCGGAGGAGGCGAAAGCGAAACACCAAGCCAGACAGGCGAAGGGCTCCCTCGAAACCAGAATGCTCGAGCCCATCGCGCCTCCCTTCAGTGCGTGGCCTAGTGAGGTCCGGGTCGCCATTGAGACTGGGGTCTTCGAGCCGACAACGGCATGGAGGGACTTCAGTATGGACGACCTCACATCCCTCACGGACTCCTACCTTGAGGCCAAGGCGGTCATCTCGCTGGGTAGGAATCCCTTCCCGGCGGCCCTCCTGTCAGATCTGCCGGACCTGACAGGGATCCCCATGCCAAAGGCGGCGCCCAGGTGCCGAGGGCCCTGACAGGCCGCCCACCATCCCCCCAGCCTCGGGCTCTGGCGTGACGAGCTCAGGTGCCGAGGGCCCTGACAAGCCGTCCGCCACCCCGGTGGGCCTGGACACCAAGGACCCGGAGGTGCAGCTCTCGGTCCTGCGCTGGATGATGAGCAAACGGGTCGGAGAGGTCCGTATCTTTGCGGGCCGCTGGGTCCGACGACCGGGCCCGGTACACGTCCCGGATTGGGCGAAAAACCTCACCAAGGTGAATCCGGAGGCGTTGGAGAAGGGTACGCATCCCAGGAACCACCAGGTGGGTGGACTCCCCTGGGCCAGGTACTCCGTTGATGAGTTGCACCAGCAGGCGAAGGCGGGGGACCGACCCTACCCTGGGGACCTGCGATCCATCTTTTGGGCTGCCCCCCACGATCCGGATGAGGACTTCCACTGGACGCGCCAGATCTCGTCCTGGACACTCCCAGGCCTACTGGGGATGTTCGGGCACAGCTACACCCTGCGCCAGCTCTGGGGAGTCTGGGAGTCTCTGCCACTGCTGCAGGGCCCTAGGCAGCGGGGCCCGAAAAACAAGGCCCAGAATCAGACCCGCCTGGAGGGCTGGGAGACCCTGAAGGAGGACGCGCGGTGCTTCCTGAAGGAGGAGGGCCTTCCGTTTCCGCAGACAGGACCGGAGTGGCGATTGGTCTACCGGGCCATGGGCAAGGTCCTCGCGGCCCGGGCCTTCCTCACGGACACCCCGGCGGAGGTGATGCAGCTCCCGGTCCAGGACGTGGCGGACTCCAAGGAGCAGATGATCCTGCGGGCGGTATGCGACGAGCGCATCTCGGTCCCGGTGGAGAGCCTCCAGCAGTTCCCAGAGGTGTACAAGGCCCTCATGGACCGCATTGGAGGCCCGGGGGCCCTGGCGGAGGTGAAGGTCAACTGGCGCTGCAACACGAAGCAGTGGTGGGTCGGCGCAGTCCCCGACTCAGTGGCCCCCTCCATCTACCGCAAGCTCGGCTACACCAACGACATGATCAAGCTGATGGGCCTGGACCCCTCCGCCCCTGGGTGCCGGACAGGTGCCGATGGCCCTGACATCCGCCCCAGGGGAGGCGAGGGCGATGAGGGGATCGTTTACCCCCCCATCACGGCGGACAACGTCCACGGCGTGGTGGGTAAGGACTACCGGAAGAAGAACTATCCGGTGGAGATGAAGCATGTCTTCTGGGCGCACATGGAGTGTGGCCTGGTCCTGAGCTCCGTCACCCCGTGGGAACTCATCCCGAAGACAAAAGGGGAGACCCGGGGGGGCTACATGTGCAAGTATTGTAAGGGGTACTGGCGTGCCGGGGGAGGGGGCACCCGCCTCCTCCAGATCCGGGCCGGCAAGGCCATCTTGCAGCTGGTGTTGGACGAGCCGCCGGAGGGCCTCTACAACCGCTGGGTGAAGGAGCGGCTGGAGTACTACCGCCGGGTGGAGCCCTCGGCCCCGTTGCGGGACGTCTCCATCGTGGACCAGAAGGTGCCCAGGTTCAGATTCAGCCAGACCACCCAGACAGGCCACGTCTCCAATGCCATCTGGGAGCTGATTCTGCGGAATCCGGAGGCTGCTGCGCTCAAGCGCATCGATGACATCGCGAAGGGGGCCGCGTGATGATGCGGGACAACGCCATCTTCCGGCACACCATCCAGGACCGCGGCCATCCGGAACGGATGCGCAGCGCAC